CTCCTTTTGAAGGGGCAAAATTTTACCCTTAGTTACTGTAAGGTGTATTCTTTCTCTCAGAAGTAAGATTAAAGGCCATGCATCCACAAGGCATGTTCCTTCTCCCACCAAAATCCATAGTAACACTTCTGTTGCCTTCAGCGGGAGGAGAATTGGAGCCAAAGACAAAGAGCAATATTCACTGTTAGTGTAACTTCAGTGGAAGTTATTCTGCGGGTGAATTTGGCCCAGGCACTACTGTGTAAATTACTGTTTTGTTGAACATCAAAGTAAGGGTCAGATTCTGCCACCCGTATTCACAATTTAGTATCTCACTGTGTTAGATTATTTAAGGCCCAGTCATAGGGAGAGCAGGGACTAATTACCTGCTACGGTCTACTTCAAGCGAATGGACAAGGAATGGAAAGAACCCTGGCTCTGCCACCTCTCCTTCTCCTTATTGGCCAGGAGCACAGAGTAGGGGTGTAAATTGCTTCACAAAAAGGGGATGAATTAACTTACTCTCTGTCCAGAATAATAGTGGGGAAAGGGTGGAGTTGGGACTGAGTCATGTTTCATTCTCCGCTCTGCTCCTGAGGAAGTGCAGCTTCCTCTACTCTTACACCAGGCAGATTATAGGGTTACAGTCTAGGCCTTTGAATATCAGCGGGATTATGCATGGAGTACAGTGCTACTCATTGTGAGTATTAGAATTTAATCCTCAGTAAATGGATAAATCAGATTACTCCATGGAAGAAATCATTTGGATATGTTTAAAGCTTTCCAGAAATGTAGCTATGTTTGGGCTATTCCTATACAAACAATTCACTGAAATCTGATCTTTTGTATTTCTGGTAAAGACCCTATTTTGTGTGTCTTATTAATCTGTCTGAAAGCAGCCATAAATAGAGATTTAAAAAGAATCAGGCAAATGCTCAGAAATAGAAAATACGAATTTATACTTTTTACTAGGTTTTCAATAATATTCAGGTCTTGTTTTTATAGGGTACGTCTTCACTTACATCCGGGTCCGGATGTAAGCAATCGGTTTTCTGAGTTCGATTTATCGCGTCT